CTGTTTCTGTTTTTGTTGGGGTTTTTTGTATTAGTCTTTGTTAAACTATTCTTGATGTGGATGGTGTTGTGTGGCATGTGTTTGTGTGTTTGGATAACATCTTACAGGGATCAGGTGACATTTTTTGGAATGAGTATCTGTGTTGTTCTGTCCGTCTGTCAGCTGAAGCTCCAGGAGTCTCAGAGGATTGTCCAGGGGAACATACGGACGGGAGAGAGAGACCTGGAAGAGTTTCAGCAAAACTTGGAGTCCCTCAAGGTGACCACAGACACACACAGTTACGGTGACCAGTTTTCTACTTCTTAGTTTAGTGTTTCTGTGAATATGCTGTCTCATGAGGGGGGTGGTTTTCATAGAACTCACTTCTCATTCATGAATAACAGAGTCCCAAAAGGTCAAACGATGGTGCTCTGTGCCTATTTGAAGGCTCTCAGCTCGTATTCAGGGATTGGCACCGCTGTTTTCTGTATGTTGTTGAAAAGACATCTGCTCTTTCTTCCATCGAGCAAAACTAAGATTGTGTGGGAAGTGTGAGTATTTGAGAAAATAGTTATTTGTCCAATGTTTTTCTGTCAGCTCCCTGAGCGGTCTGAGCTGTCAGGATATTTGCTGTGTGATTCCTAACATCAAAATAGTTTGCTTCCAGGGTTATTGAGCACTACACGATTTAAAACAGGAAGACCCTGAGAAAAAAAGGAGTGGGTTTGAAATTGTGTCAGCTTATTTAAAAAAAAACAATGGGGAAGACTTTGTTTTGTTAAACTGTAGGCTTATAGAACTATGAAACTAAAGATGGTCAGATTTTTAATTCACACAGCTTACTTTGAATACTACATACATCTTTAACACGCATGTGCTAACTTCAAGCCTCAGAGGAGTTACTGTTTCAGCGCAGTGTCTGAGTGGATCATTAAGTTTTCCAGGAAAACCTTCTCCCCTCTCTCTCCCTAGTAACTCCGTTGTTCCATTCAGTGTGCGACTATTCCAAGAAATCATTCATAGATCAGAAAACACCAGACCAAAACTTTTCCTCTTACTTTTATTTCTTTTACAAAAAAAATAGGAATAGAAAGAGTTTGTTAGTTTGGGAAAAAGAATACCTCTTTCTCTTTCTTTTCTTAGTTGTATCTTGAGGTTGTATTGATGGGTCATGATTTTTAATAAAAAGCTAAATGTTTGGTCACACAATATATGCCAGCCTGTGTACATATTTAAGAGTATATTTAAGAGTATTTAAGAGGTATTTTCATAGCTTTTGTATAATAAAATGACACAGTACAACATTAGCGAGCGCGGACAGAGCTCAGTTTAACCTGTTATATCAGATATCAGTGGATTAGATAAACTTGTTAGGGTTGTCATTTAACCTTTAACTTTTTTTTTTCAGAAAGGTGGAATGATGATTTATTGTCATGTTGTTTCAGGCGTCAACGTTGGCGGTTCTGGAGGACAGTGAAGCTTTGTTTGCCGACATGGCACTCCGTCTCGAGAAAACTAAAGCTGAGGTGGGGAGCAGAATCTTACCGTAGCTGTAGGGGGCTGCAATTGTTCAGTAGCAAAAGTGCTGACAAAAAGATTATTCTTTTGTCAAAGTTGCATAAGGCACTAAAACATATAATATATATATACATATGATATACGAAAGTAGAATTGACAAGAATCAGTTTCCCGATCATCTTAAAACAGATTCAGTCCTATTTGGCGTGATGGTGCTCTATAGATTGTAGGTTTTCTTTGGTAGCCCTTTCACTGATTCGTGCATTACAGGTTCGGGGGATGCTGGAGGCACAGGAGCGAGTGTCAGTGGGACGAGTGGAACGAGACATAGACCAGCTGGAGAAAGACCTGCTGGTGCTGAGGAGGAGAGACGAGGAGATCAGCCAGCTGCTGCAAACTGAAGACAGCGCCCATTTCATCCAGGTGAGGAGGGAAATAGGAATAACAGATGGGACCAGCACTTTAAAAAGGCTGAATCTTTTTCATACTTAAGTAAGGAAAATTGAATAAAATAATGATGAAGTTAATTTCAATATAAGAGCAAAGCCATGCCAAAAACTTAATTGATTAAAGAAATTATTTTACTATCCACAAATACAATTCTCTCCCTATGTTTAATTTGATTTCTTATTCATTCCTTTTTAATAGGGAGATCTATGTGTCACATTTCATGTGAACTTTGCTTTCTCAAAAGACCAGTAAGACATTAGTAAATCTACCACTAATGCATCCCTGGAGTCATAAGTACTCAGAAGAGTGTTTGCTAACAAAGACATGGAGAGATTAGTGTGCTATGTCGATGAAAGATGGAGAGGTGTAGAGTGGATGACAGGAAACAATGAGTCAGCAGTGGAAAAGGGCAGTGCTCGCCTAAGTGCTGTTTTCAAATTCAATTGTACAAGGGATTAGGGCAGGAGGGAGGGTAGGTCAAGGCTGTGATGTATTTTCCATTCTCTCTTTTTACTGGCTCAGGCGGCCCCACTTCTCTGTGTCCCTCTCACCGCTGATCTACACTCCAGAGCCTATTGCCTCTCCACTGAGGCCTTCAGCGGCGCTAGAAGAGCACTTTGTCACCTCCGCAGTCGCGTGGAAGAAGTCTGCAGGGAGGAGGTTGACAAAGTCAGCCGCGCAGGTACGCCAAGTGCCCGACAAGCAGAAAAAGGACCCAAATTATGAGTGCTCAGACATGACGCTCTTCATATGGATTACAATCAAGGCATATTTATCGGTTTGATGGTAAAAGTTCAGCTGGATAGAACGGATCTCTATGGTCCGAATACAGTAAACTCCCCTCTCGCACTCAGTTTCACACTTTGTCTATATATCTGTTTTAGTTAACGAGAACTGTGCCCCCGGGAGACGGAGCCTAAAAGGTAAGCATCAGTAACACAATCCACACATGCACACACAAAGTCTGCAAGAGTCATGTCTGTGGTTTTACATGACATTTAACACTGCGGAGGACTTTGGAAAGTTAATAATTGATGCTGAAGAGGACAGGGCGTTGTCTGATACTGTGGCTTATTTCCCGTTCTGCCCATCCTGAAATGTTCAGTCTAATCCAATCAGGATCAGACAAATTCAGCAGCAGCTGTTTTGATCCAATTGAATGGTTCTCATTGAAAACTACAAAAGATAATACAGAAAACTTTTAGTTTTTCACCACTGCCATTTGAAGTAGTTTTTGTTCAACTAGCTAGCTTGAAAATACAAAGGCTAGACCTGATATTGTCAGTGATGTAGTTGGAGGATCAAGGGAAAAGACTAGATTTGTCGTTGCTGCTTAACTGATTTTGTCTCCAAATTGCAAACATAATGCTTGAAACATTTCCCTTCAGTTTCCCAAAAAATAAACCAATTATATTTATGTTTTCCTTAGGTGCCCTAAATCATGCCGCAGAGAACTGCAAACCTCTGCAACATGGTAGGGGTAAGTAGAACAATATATTAACAACACAACAGGTGGTTTAGCATGAAGGTGCCAGCAGATACTACTATTAACAGACTACTATTGACTATTTAGAAAATAGTTTTTACTATTTATACATTAAGCTGGCAGATGGAGTGCTGTAAAAAGTTTTTTTTTTCACTGATATGTAATTTATCTGTATTGAAACTCAAACAAATGTACCGAAAAGGTCCCATTTTGTTCTGTGTTTCCACCACTGCTCTTGGAATTTACACAAACTAAGCTTCTACATTGTCTATTGACATTTTTCAATTCCTAATATTATATTTACTTGTGTATTTGGATAGTAGTATTTGCTCAGTGGGTGCAAATACTTTATTGGCGGTTTGAAAGATAATCTGGTGCCTTGTGACGCTCCTCATATCCGATTCAATTAGTATTGGATTTAATCGCTGTACTAAAATGCCATCCACACAGTTGTTCAGTACACCGTTGTCTCTGTTTTTTACAGCTGTGCGGGTCTCGTTCCCTCTGTCCACTTTGTCACTGCAGCCAGCCGATCAGAGGCTGAGGACAGCCTTCCTCAGATGTGGGTATTTTATCGTTCTTCAAACAAACTAAAGGGCCAATTTTTAGTATGTGACCAGTACAGATTGAATTACTTTGCATTGTAAAAGGAAAACAGATTAAAGAAAATCAAAAACATGCCAGTTGGGCAAGATCCCAACAGTTGAATAAGAATAATCCTCGCTCTGAGTGGACAGTTTTCACTACTGGCTAACTTCCTCCTCCTGCATGTCAGTCTTTCCTTTGCTGCCTTCCCTCTTCATCCTTCTCGGTTTCTTCTCTCCATGATTTAATTCACCAGATAATGAGAATCTTGCGGGGAAATTGGAGAGCCCAGTTTAAACTTCCATCAATGATAGATGGCAGCCATAATGTATTTATGACATCCTGATTTATCATTAAGACCAGTGCCGCTACCGGTGCCAGCTGACAAGATGACGGCAAACCACCATCTTGTCATGCATTGATATGTCCTGTGGAGGAGGACAAAGTTCATACGTGTCATTTATCAAGTCTTTTCTACTAAAAGCCAGCTGACATTTGAACGTTTGTTTTCCCTCAACTATGAGAAACCGGAAAAACCAGATGTCTAATTCTAATGAACAATTTCCATACTTAAAACAATGGCAGATAGAGAACCCTGTTTCTCCATTTTTGTTGAACGTCTTTTTTTTTGTTTTAGTGGTAAAAGTTTTTATCCATGCCTTCTAACCTCTTTTACTCACTTTAATGTATTTTTCCTTTCTTCCAGTCTCATGCCGTTTGTCACTGGACCCAGACACCGCCCACCCTACTCTGGTCCTGCTCGAGGAGCCTCAGGGTGCGCATTGTGGCGAGGATCCCCAGTCGTACCCCCCTCACCCCCATCGCTTTGATTCGGTGGCACAGGTGCTGTGCAAAGAAGGCCAGTTCGGTGGCGCCAGCTACTGGGAGGTGGAGTGGAGGGGCGGCGGCTGGGTGGACATAGGCGTCACCTATCGGGGAATCGGACGCAAAGGGGGCGGGAAGCCCTGCCTGCTGGGCCGCAACGAGAACTCCTGGCGGTTGAGGTGCACGCACGCTGGATACGCCGCTTGGCACGAGAACCGGAAAACCACGGTGGCCGCCCCGGCCTGCCCCAGGATCGGCGTCTTCCTCGAGCGCCAAAAGGGAGCCTTATCCTTCTACAGTGTCTCGGACACAATGGTGCTCCTGCACACGTTTCACTGCCAGTTCACTCAGCCGTTGTACCCGGCTTTCCGTCTGGACCTGGACTCCACCCTGCTCATATGCCCCTACGAGGGGGGCAGTGCTAATAGAAGCTAACAGAGCGGGGGACTACTAACTGAAGGAAATATCCTTGGAAACAAGACATTTTTTTAATTATTTCTAACAGAAGTGTCTATATCTTTTTTTATTACCTTTGGCCAGAGGTTTTTTGGGAATCTTTCTCAGGTTGAGCTACACAGGGCATGAAACACCTAGAGTAATATTTCAAAAGGACGTGTCATATAACTCATATAGAGCAAAGATTTTAACTTAAAAACTTAAACATATCAAGGAAAGAAGTTAAGTCAATCCAGTTTCAGTGAATAGCAGCAGCTTAGTGTTCTTATTTACAAACGAGGAGAGGATTATTGAATATATATCTAACTGTCCACAATGGAAAAGATCAATACACAGATTCTCTGAGCAAACAAGTTAGAATCCTCCTTGTGACATCCATCTCCAGTACTACTGTGCTAATCAGTATTCTGTGTCATTGTGGACAGCTTTATTTACTTTGAAGAAAATACCATTAGATGGTTGTGAATTGGAATAAATTCCTTTCTTTTACATCAGCCACACTAACTTGTGGCACAATATTTATTATAAACCTGCACAGATAACCTCAGTTTGTTATTGAGGTAAAATTTTGTAGCATTATTCTTATTTTGCGTCATATTTATGGTATTTTCTACATTTCTTTTGTTATTTTGACTTGGCCGGTTTTGGATACAACAAACTAAATATTCATTCTTAAGATGAAATTGATTTGTTTGCAAAGCTTAATTATCCAGTTTGAACTTTACCATGTATAGGAAATCAATCATGTCTTCTTCCAGTACTTTCAAAGATTTCCCTCAATGCTTTGTAAACATTATAGATCCTCACCTTCAGTTTATCCATCACATGTGTGTGATTAAATTAACCTCGATGATTTTTAGGACACCATGTTCAACATTCCTTTTGTTGATATCCACCATCTCAGTGTCTTCAAGCTCCTCTTGTAGTCAAGACTGACCTCTTAATGTTGGACAATTTAAGAGTTTCAGACCATCAGTTGAAGGACTTTTTTTTTTCTTTTATAGGAATGTTTTAAATGATTCTAAAGCTACAGCACGAATTTACACCACGCCTTAATTGGTGTTACAGTTGGATAGGATATATTCAAAAGATATAAGTGCCTGAAACATATGAAAAGTACTGCAAGTTGGTTCTCGCATGCTTTGGTTGGATGCGTATCAGATCCACTTAATGGCCTGTACTATATTTGCATGTTCTGCATGCCTCCAAATGAATCCTAAAGCCATACTGTAACATCTACTCAGACCCATTTTTAGCAATATCTCATGCCTTTTCAATCAAGGTTTATTTAATAAAAAAGGAAATTAAATGTGGAATTAGTGGAAACCTTAGAAAAAACTGTTTGATTGATTCAGTGGAATCCCTTTTCTCGTGCCTTCTGGAGACAATCACTCACTTAAAAATTGTGAGGCAATGTTCGAAAGAGCTGGTCCTCCCTCTGAACAGACACTAGACTGTAGCTACGGCCTTTTGTTCATTATGGAATCATTATGCTTTATCACCTCGATGAAACGCTGTGTGAGCCCTTTAAAGCAAACTGTTAAAGAAAGCAATCAAGTATTTTAAATTCAAAGACACACAAAAAAGATTTTTTTGAAAATTTGACCTTCTTCAAGTATATATCTAGAAATAAGGCTTTGTTTGTATTGTAATCATAATATACAAGCTATTTCTGCCAGGAAATACATTGTTTCACAAACTTTAGTAACACTGGACTGTACCATTTAGTGACTTGTATTTTCTGTTCTATTTTATACTCTTATATCTCTTAAACCAACTATTAACTCACTGTGCCTCATTGTATCACTGTTACCCTCAAATATCTGTAAAATATGTTTGTACTCAGTGTTTTTTCAAAGCAAGATGGTAGTTTCACTATGAGATGAAATAAACCAATCCACCGATTTCTGATTTATTAGTATTTTTCCAGTAACTGCAGATGTTTCCTATGAATACCTTTTTTTGTGATGACTTCTTATCGAATAACCTGACTCATAAAATGTATATATCATTTTGTTCTAAATTGATCTCAAACTCGCATATCTTGACCTGACATTTTGTTCAAAGGGCTTATATGGCCTCTGTTATCACCACATCTTAACACATGCAGAAAATATATTACACAATGTCAAAATGGAGCAGTAGTTTTTAAACATCTTTACATCTTGTACACTAAAATGGATTATTATCCTTGCTCTGAAGGTCAAGTGTTAGTTATGGTCAGAGCAAAGGGAGGCCTGAAACATGAGGCAAACAGCAGTTTTTATATAAATAAAAATAATGGCTAAATTAACAGTTCTGACAAAACAAGAATCGGAAAATGTCAATTTATCAGGATAATTTTTCAGGCTGGATTAACACGTATTAAATATACGAGAAAATTAGATCAGATACAAGGTTGCAGCTATAATATATTTATAACTATATTATTTTTTCAAAACCATAACAAAAACTAAGTCAAAACTAACATAAGTAACAATAACAACTCCAAAATACACTTTTCATACCAGATTTATTTTCCTTTCTCTTAAAAACACTTAGTAAGCGTTTCAGTACTGCCTGACAGACTAAACTGAGGGAAAACTAACACTCCCAGTTTATCGTCCATGTGGGATTTCTCACGTGACCTCTTTTATATACACAGATGTCATATGATTTCGGGTTATTTCCGAACATGGCGACCAAGGCTCATCACCTGGTGGTCGCTCTTGCGTTTACTGTGCTCAGCGGGGTTTTAGGTTTTCCTCTAAACCAGGAGAAAAAGGACGGCGTTTCCTGCGGTTACCAGGTTAGCAGTTTTATGCTTTCAGTGTTTCGGCGCTTGTTTTAAATCTTTCAGCTTCTAGCCGGAGCTAACTTCAGTTTCACTTCATGGGAGCTGACTCTTTGAGACAGGAAGTTAAAGTACCGGTAATAACAAAGCGGGTGTATCTCTGGAAAGGCTGTTTCTTCCTGTATAATAACACAGCAGTGTGTGTATTAAGCTGTTTGTATTGAGGGATTGTGTTTGTGTTTGTAGTCATGCCATGCAACAAAGCCCAACTTGCTGAATGTCCACCTGGTTCCTCACACACACGACGATGTGGGCTGGCTCAAGACTGTGGACCAGTACTTCTATGGAGGTCGGTTTATACACTACAAACAAACACACACACTCACTGTGGATTTACTGCAATCAGGGCGTTTTGTTTAATGTTTCCTAGCATTTATCTTCACAAATGCCATAGAAAGAGGTCACAATTTTTTCTGATTCTCTCATTTACCTCGACTTCCTTGTCAGTGTAGAAGGTAAGAGCCAAAAATGTTGTTTTCATATCAGCCTCATATGATTTGTTAACTGTTCATTTTAGATTTAGGGTCAACGACATATTCCAAATAGAGTGTAAAACAGCAAAGAAAAAAAAACACACAAACTAACCAATTCATGTGGAAAGTATCTATTAATAATGACAGAGTTGTGGAGGAGCAAATATGAGCAGATGATCTCTAAATTGCCATCAAGAGCAGGAAAAAGTGATTGAAGTTCTAAAAGTCAATGTTTTAATGTTAGAGTTACTGACACAGATTTGGATTTTTCTTCTCCGTGACTTCATTATATCATAAAAATTGTTTGTAGAAAAATTATTCCGGTATTTAAAGGACAAGAGTGCAAACCTTGCCAAAGATTAAGCATAAATCAATCGCAGATAAAACCTTTGTTGTGCTTCAGTACAGAGGTGCGTTGGCAAATGTCATCAAAAACTTAAACAGATCAGCCTTGTGTTAGTATTTGTCAGCAGCAACTCTGACTTGTCTGGACTCTGAGGCAGAGGTCCAAAAGCCAGGCTTTGGGATGGTGTCGGGTTGTATCAGTGCCCTTCCAGATTACATCTTTTCCAGGGACATCCATGCATTTTTCAACAAGACAAGTTTCACGCGTTTGTAGTTTTACACTATATGCCAGTGGAATTGTATTTATGCCAGGGCTGAGCCTGAATATCAAGTAAAGCTGCAGTAAAGGTGGTTCTGCTCATGTGGAATGCAGCTTGGGGACTTGTGAAATACTTGAGTTCAAAGATGGCTCAAATGATTGTGTCAGATTTTAAAATGCGGCTTATTGGACGACCAAGAGACTCATCATTTTGTACTTAAATGTAAACAAAAATGCAGATTGCTACCTTTGTGTGAGTGATATTGTGAAACAAAGCTTCATCAGATTAGGTCTTTCAATGACAAGATAACAACATTCCTCCCAAAATAACCCCTTCAGAATTTCCACTCTCAGTCACTGAAAAAGCACCTGTCAGCAGTCTTAACCCGCAAAAACAGCAGCTCTGCCATTTCACCACCACAGTGTGACAAACTCAGATTATATGAGATAGTCACATGGATTTTACTGTGGGCCACATGATCTGAAGGTGTCCTCTGTCCTTTTGTGTATGTAGATTTGAGTTTCATAGATTTGAGTTTCATACCTGAAAGATGTTTAAATGAATTGTTGTTGATGTAAAAGTTTCAACACATTCTTTTGATACCACTAAAACACTTTACAAATTAGGAATAAATAGGGATATTTACTACTTATTCTGTAATACTGAATCTCTGTCCGCTCACCTTTGTCTTCCGCCTGCCTGTAAATCTGCTACAGATCGTAATGACATCCAGCATGCGGGGGTTCAGTACATCTTGGACTCCGTGGTGGACCAGTTGTTGAAGAATCCAGACAGGAGATTCATCTACGTGGAGACGGCCTTCTTCTACCGCTGGTGGAAGCGGCAGAGCTCCAGCATGCAGCAGACCGTCACACAGCTCGTTAATGAAGGTAAACGATTTAGGGCTGCTCGACGGTCACCCAGGTCCGTTGCGTCCTGACCCAATGTGTCCTCCTTCAGGCCGTTTGGAGTTTGTGAATGGCGGCTGGTGCATGAGTGATGAGGCCGCCACCCATTACAGTGCCGTCATTGACCAGATGACCATGGGCCTGAGGTTTCTAAATGAGACTTTTGGTCTTTGTGGCCGCCCCCGTGTCGCCTGGCACATCGACCCCTTTGGTCACGCCCGAGAACATGCCTCCATTTTTGCACAGGTATTTTAACTTTAAGCAAATCCATGCACAATACAGTTTTGATCAATATTAGATATCTTCTTTTATATCTATCAAACTGTATTCTTACCAAAGCAGAAAATACAGTAAATAAAGAAAATGATATAGTTAAATAAAAAAATAAGTGCTGAGTTGACTTACCTGTGTGTGTTGTTTCAGATGGGATATGATGGCTTCTTCTTTGGTCGATTGGACTACCAGGACAGGGCTCGCAGGATGATGGAGAAGGAGCAGGAGCTGCTGTGGAGGGCCTCTGACAGCCTCACGCCACCAATGGCCGACCTGTTCACTGGTAACAAGAGCCGTTTTTATTTGACTTCTTTGCACTGGATCATTTCAAAGATAGACACCACATGTAGCAAACCTTGTAAGATCCCTGTGCCCCTCTTACCCTCAGGAATCCTTCCCAATGGGTACAACCCTCCTGAGGGGTTTTGCTGGGACCAACTCTGTGACGACCCACCAATCAGAGACGACCCAGACCTAGAAGATTATAACGTCGATGATGTGGTGCAGCGCTTCCTGCTCATCGCTAACAGTCAGGTTGGACACACACACGTGCACTTCTGTCAGTTTAACATTTATGGTGGGCAGACTCACTCAGAGGCCTTAGTTGATAATCAAAGCTGCTTTGAAAACAAAAACTGCATAAGAAATTGTGATAATTCTAAATTATCCATGAAATATAGTCAGTACTGACACCTTATTTAGTTTGATTATTTTTGATTGGCTAAAATATACTCACAGCAGAAGTTCTTATTTGTTTTGTTTACTGTTTTGTAAGCTTTATTTCTTCCCCTTCTGCCAGGCTAGGGTGTATAAGACCAATCACATCATTATGACAATGGGTTCAGACTTCCAGTACGAGAACGCCAACCTGTGGTATAAGAATCTGGACAAGCTGATCCATTACGTCAATGCCAGGCAGGCAAATGGAAGCAACGTCAATGTGCTCTATTCTACTCCGTCCTGTTACCTCCAAGAGCTGCACAGAGCAAACCTCACCTGGTAGAGTGACCGTTGAGTCAACAGCAAAATCTGATTAAAAGGGCATTGTTAAAATGTAGCCTGAAAAACTGTATGAAAGAATGTGGTCGTGTATTTTGAGGTCAAAGAATTGCTCTTCTTTTCTCTCGGTCCAGGCCTATGAAGACAGATGATTTCTTCCCATATGCAGATGATGCTCATGATTTCTGGACCGGCTACTTTACAAGTCGACCGGCTCTGAAACGCTACGAGAGGATCAGCAACAGCAACCTGCAGGTGGACTAGGATTGTATTCCCTCCACAAATCCTTTAAAAAATCACAAATATAGAGCCTTTTTAGAATATTAAAAAATAATGTTTTTATATGTTGTTTCTCAAGTTTAAAAGTATTAATGACAATGCATTTGGCATAGTTATAAACTATCCATCAGCATATACAATAACAGACAGCCACTAAAATATAGATTTTGTTCCTATTTTACGAACTGGTGAGTGAATTATTCAAAAGCAGATCACTTTCAGCTTATCAGCAATAAAGAAAGACAAACATTTTAATGCTGGAAAAAAGCATTTTGGGGACTTTTAAAATGGAAATGATTATTTATGTAATTTATTTATTTATGCTTTTATTTGACAGACATGTAACCAGCTGGAGGTGCTTGGTGGTCAGGCTTCCAGGAAGGGACCTTTTGGGGAGGGCGACAGCCAGACTTTGAGTGAGTTTTTTTTTTCATTTAACTCAACACGTTTCCTCCTGCTGATCATGCACCCACCAGATAAGTTTGGTTTGGAAGCTATTACTCTAATTCTGGATGTCAGAGAGAATAAAACGCAGACAGAGAACTGAGGTTACGTCTTTGCAGGGAAAGCCATGGCCGTGGCCCAGCATCACGACGCGGTTTCAGGCACAGCAAAGCAACATGTGACCAATGATTACGCCAGGAGGCTGGCCAACGGCTGGCAGCATTGTCAGGTGTGACGCTATCTGGCTTTTGTATTCGGTGGGAGTTTTCCTCACTTGAAAAGCTGGTTTTGGAACAGCTGTGAACATCACATCAGGGTTTATCCAGCTCTGATTTTAGCTCAACAATTCTTTCTGTGATAGCTTTTTAATGTTGTTTTTATGCCCACCATCCTGTTCACCAGGTTTTGGTCAGTAACAGTCTGGCCTCTCTCAGTGGCTCCTCGGCTGAACGAGTGTACTGCGATTACCTCAACATCAGCGTGTGTTCTCTCACTGAGTCCAGCAAAAAGGTACAAGCAAAATAACAACAATTAAAACCTAATGTCAGCTCTTACCTCTCAAAGATTCTGTGTGAAAATAGACAAATTAAATCCATTTTAATCGTCGTCAGAAAAAGGGAACTATTAATCATGTCTGATGCCTTACCAGTCTTTCTTCTTCTTTCACTCAGTTCACAGTCAGTGTGTACAACCCTCTTGCTCGGCCTGTTTCTTGGCCTGTCAGGCTGCCAGTCAACGGCACAGCATACAACATAACAGATGCCAAAGGGAGATCTGTGGACTGTAAGGTCTGTATGAGTAACGGCGTTAAAGAGCTTGTATTATTCTCGTTTACAGATTCATATTTTCTACTCCAGTAAGTTCACATGTAGCAGTACCTGCTGTCATCCTGATTTAAAAAATGTTCATTTAAGTGCTGTCTCTCTAAGAAAATACCTGCAATGGTGGCTGTTGGTTCAGTTGCTAATTGTAAAAAAAGAGAAATGCATATATGCAGACTTCTTTTAGATCTATAGATATTACACATGGAGTGTTTTATTGTTTTTATGATAATAATAACTTATTCAAACTGTTTTCTGTGTATGTATGTTGAAGGTGGTCCCGGTGTCCAGTGCCACCCGTGGGGTGAGGAGGACTCGGGGCTTTGCCATCAATGAGTTGGTGTTCCAGGTTCAGGCTCCTCCACTGGGCTATAGCACCTACTCTGTGTCCCTGCTAAAGAATGGGCCCCCGCCGGCCTCCAGGCAACACGGTGCCCCCATAGTCATCCAGAACAAGGTAAATACATACTTCATCTACCTGGGAAAATGAGCATGGCAATTATTAATACACATAATTCAAACTTTAAAAGAAAAAGGGAGGGGGGGGGTTAGACTTCATATAATTGTGCCTTCTAGTTACCTTGGAAACCTTACTGTATGTGTATAGATATATCTTTGTTTATGCTTGGTAAGCCTTTTTGGATTTTTCAAGTGGGTTTTGTTCGATATTTCTGATGTTCTGAGTCAGAAATTCGACTTCAAGGAACATTCCAGACCTTTTTCTGACTGGGAGTTTCTTACTTCAATTAAAAATCCACCAAGTAAAAGACAAGAAATGCTTAAAATTCCATCTGCATTACCTTTTGTGAAGGATTTGTATCCATTTGCTACAGTTCCTGCGGGCGACCTTTGACCCTGATACTGGCCTCTTAAGCAGCCTCAGCAACCTCGAAACCAAACAGGCCATCAATCTCACACAGAACTTCTACTGGTTAGTGTTTTCTACGGAGTGGAAACTCGCAACCCTGAGTTAAAAAACACACAACTTTTGATAACTTGTTGTGTTATGTTTCAGGTACAATGCCAGTAATGGCCACAACTCTAAGAGCAACCAGCCCTCTGGAGCTTACATCTTCAGACCCAACTCTTCCACGCCTTTCATCATCAGCAAAACCGCCAGAACGGAGAGCATTCAGGTACAGAGTGAGCAGCAACTCAGCTTTGTTCACGTTTAGTTCATGTGCATATAATATTGTCTTTGAAAAGTGAAACCACTAAAATGCAGTTACCGTATCATTATTTTCTGTTTTACTGCATCTCTCCAGACCTCAGTGGTGCAGGAGGTGAGGCAGTGGTTCGCCCCCTGGGTGTCTCAGGTGGTTCGTCTGTATGCTGACAGCAGAGCTCTGGAGCTGGAGTGGACCGTAGGACCTCTGCCAATAGAGTGAGTGTGAGCTAATAACACACACTCATGACTTGGCGTGTAATGACACGACAAGTCATGGTCGCGGGCGCAGTCACCTCAGAGCTACTCTCTTCATCCATCAGTGACAGCCTGGGAAAGGAGGTGATCACCCGTCTAGACACCAGCATCAAAACCTCTGAATTCTTTTACACCGACTCCAACGGCAGAGAAGTGCTGCAGAGGAAGTACGACCAAGCGCCGTTGAAGATCAATTTTAACATTTAAAGGCAGCATGGATTTAAATGTAATGCTCAAAGAAAATGGCTGCCTTGGCTTTTGTTTCCAACAGGAAAGACTTTCGTCCGACTTGGAACCTGAAGCAGTCAGAACCTATTGCTGGAAACTACTACCCCATCAACTCTCGTGCATATATCAAGGTGTGTGGAGTTTCCCTTTGATGAAGTAAAGCGCTATTCTCTCGCAAAGGAGAAACTCAAATGAAAACATCTGATATTCATATATATGCAATTGTATCTATAGATCTTTTCAAATTATACGTTGGCTTTTTTCCTTTAAAAATTTGGTTGTTTTTTTGTTATTTGTCTTTCATCAGATTTCTCACTTTCATTTTCGTCTTTGTAATCTTGATTAATTTATTTGCCCTCAGGATGATTTGGACCAACTGACGGTGGTGACAGATCGCTCTCAAGGAGGAGGCAGCATCCAGAATGGCTCTCTGGAGATCATGGTAAGACATGATATGGGTAATTGCATGAGGGGTAAAAAAGAAAAGATTTATATAATAAAGGTTGGGCAGTATCAACATAGTAATAAAAGTTAACCCAGCGGTCAGTTCTGCAGTTGTCTTATGTCCGCAATCCTTGATCATACTGAAGAGCAAGATACAATCGCCCTTTGGTTTCTCTCTGTATGCTTAAAGTTTGTTTTTTTCTCGCTCCCCTTCAGCTTCACCGCCGGCTGCTGTACGATGACGTCCGTGGTGTTGGTGAACCTCTCAACGAGTCCTCTTGCATTTACCCAAACGGGCTGGTTGTCCGCGGTCGCCTTTTGCTCTCCCTGGACCGTCCGGCCACTGCTGCTGACACACACCGTCCCCTGGCCCAGGAGGTGGTCCTCCAGCCACTGCTGTCATTTACTGATGGCCAGCTGGACACCAACACTCGGCTGGAGGTTAGTGGGAACAAGAGCGTAGGATTTAAAAAGGAGTTCAGCAGGTTCTATATGAAACAATCAAGTATTTCCTCTGTATTGATTATCTGCAACAATCGTTTTCAAACTTTGCTGCTGGTGGTCATTATAACCTTTTCTGTGCATTTTGTTACCAACAATGCTGAGCTATGTTGTGTGCCTTACCTTTTCCTGTATCAAGTGTCCACAGTTTGTCACAGAGTATTTTCAAAGATTAAATGAATAACGTGTAACATATGAAAAATGAAAGTGACCTGCAGGAATGGGGACCATGTTCAGTTGGTTCTGTTTATTAGTTCTCAGGGCTTCAGGCTGCGCTGCCCCCTGCTGTCCACCTCCTGACTCTCAGTCAGTGGGATCAAGAGTTGGTGCTGCTCAGACTGGAGCATCAGTTCCAGAGCTGGGAGAGCAAACTTAACTCACAACCTGTCACCGTAAACCTCCAGGTGATCGAATCAGAAACCCGTTTGTATCCTTTCAAAGGACGGCTCATAGGAACTTAACTGGATTCTATCATTCTCCTTTCTGTCTGTGCAGAAGCTGTTTTCCACTCTGGATGTTCTGGGTGTGTCTGAGCTGAACCTGTCTGCCAATCAGTGGAAGGACGAGATGAGACGTTTTGAATGGACCCCTCAGAAAGGTTCGGGTCACCTCCACCTAGCATTACATTGTCTCCAAAAGTTAGGTTTGCATTCCAAGCCAAATTCAGTCATCCGCACATAGCGCGTCTTCTACACAGCTCACAAATTCACTTACACCAGTGATACAGCTTCATCTGCCCTATTTTCACATATCTACCCCAACTATACAGAATCCATTCCAATACAACATTAAGATAAAACGTCCAGACATTTAAAAGGAAAAGATACATATTTGATGATCATGTTATTCTGAGTTATCTGTGTTGAAAACCCATTATCCTGAACTTCTTGTAAACAGACTTAAAAGACAAATTGTTCCTCTTGATCAGACATTCAAATGTTGGTGAACTAGTAGCTGTGCACAGCTTAGATACAGGCAGAGAAAAGCAGGTTACTGTGGCCAGCTGCACAATATTCCCCCTCAACACACCAATTAAGCCAAATTTAATATATCAAGCCATAAATGTGCCTTTACATTTTATTGCTTCATCATAAACTCAATGGTGTTTTAGTTGTTTCATTAGACTAATTTAGGTTTATATAGGTTTTTTTGTGTGTGTGTGGATCTCTACAAGAGTTATACGGGTTGGGAGCAAAAGAGACAAACAAGCTTTAGACATTTGGAGCAATGATGTGCACATGCAGAGTTCTAAGTTGCTGTATCTATTTTGTTTCTCTTCCAGAAGAGAAACCGCTGCTGAAGACATTTGAAAACCCATCTGTATGGGAGGTGACTTTGAGACCAATGGAGATCCGAACTTTCTTACTCCGGGTCAGCGTTAGATAACCCCAACATAATCACATCAAATATACATATTGAGAGGCATTGGCCAAAGGCCAAAAGCTGCTCATCCATTTAACTGTTTTTAAGAAATGGTTTAATGAGAAATGACATTACGAACTGAAACAAAATGATGTCCTGAATCTGGACTGTGATGTCAACACAGCAAAACAGCTAAATGCCACAATGTACTCCCCATGGTCAGATTTCCAATATTTGTTCTTCTGCAATCCAGACAGTACAAAGACTTTCTGGTCACATGGGGGGAAATTCTTGTCTGAACCTTTGCCTTCTTGGATTTTTTTTTCACCCGGAAATTTTGTGGACCATGTGCGCAACCACTTTATGGAAATCAAATGAGGCCTTTTAGTATCCTGGATTTGAATTGTTCTTCTTTGAAAACTGGTGCCAAATCCTGCTAGCTGATTGATCTGTGCAATAAGTGTAAATAATTTTAAATGGCTCTCTTTTATAAATCAAATACCTGACAATAAAGCCGATTTTACTTCTTCAGTTTCATGTAATCATTGTAGATCCTCTGACATAATGAATGTAGCATTTTCATGTTTACATTTTTTTTTTAAACTAGACATAAAGGTACTTTGCTGCTGTTCTTAATTAGAAATCCAGCTGGGTTAACACAAAAGGGCCTCCTTTAAGGTCAAGTTAAGTTCAAATAATATTTTTCTAAATTTTTAATATGGAGATTGTCAATGAACCAACACATAGATGCAACCTTACTTACATCTTTAAAGTCATAGATATGACTTTATTTGCATGTAATACATGTAACAAGTCAAAAAAGGAATAGGGCAGACTGTAATTATGTAAATAACCAGACTTATTTCTGAATATGTCATTCAAACTAAAACCAAGCCATACTGGGCCTTTTAAACTGCAATTTATAGGGATTTAAAAATAAAAGAACTTATCAAAATAGAATCATTTAGTTATCTCTTCCTTTGTCTGCTCAACTTCGTGGGAGTAGCAGCATTTGTCTCCAAATGTACACGATCCCTGCTGAGAAAAGAAACAAAAACTATTTTAACACAGGCTGGCAAATGATAAATAAAACAGCTAATAGACACAAAAAAGGTCATGTTTGCAGTGGCTTCACCTCCCTTGAATTTGTCAACTTTTGTGTGTAAATGTTTAATAGACAGCTGAAGTAAAACAACATAAACCAAGTTTCCGCTCATGTCTGCATGCACTGAGCTTTGCTCTAATTTTTTTCGCTTCTAAATTTGTGAAACTGATTAAGATTACAGCATGATAAAAGACACAGTTAGTAAAAGCAAAGAGATGGACCTAAGTTTCTACCAGACAAAACCAATGAAACTAACAGTATCAACTTTTTCAGAAAACATTAAAAAAAATGTAATTAACAGTCAGAAACTAACATATGCAGATTTGAAATTAACATTAATCTGAAATATTGAAAATGAAAAATCCTTTATTCTCCGTTTGCACATTGCAACCCTAATAAAAAAGGAAGATGTCATGGTAACATTGATAAGTCTCACCTCTCTGAACCTCTTGCAGGGGATGTTCTTCAGCTGAGATGAGTCTGTGATTTTTCTCTTGTTCTGGTACTTTTTACTCTTGTCTTGCAGGTCAGCAGTAATTCCACCACTGGAGGATGAAATGAAAGAGCAATAAAGCATTTTTCTTATTGATTTCAGGTCTGTGAAGTCATAACACCCTTAACCACCCCAAATGTCATTGTGTGAGAGGAGGCAGTCCTCCCAAGCGTCGTTACTTATGGTGTTCTCCTTACGGTGTGTCACTGGGATGAGTTATGCCTTTCTTACCCAGCTTTGGCGCGAGCTTTGGGTCCCCAGAAAGCCTGCGGATTTTCCTGGAACCGGGTCAGGTGGCGTTTACGGGACTGAGGGTTGGCGTCCTCCCTCACTGTGAAACAGGCCTGGAGGCTACAGACGCAGTTGAATAAAAAACATAACCAGTGACTGGTCGAACGCCGTTATAAATACAACCATATTAGCAAGACTCCATAACATGAGGAGGAAGTCACACGACAGCAGTACACACAAACAAAGCTGAGTCGGCTGGACAGAACAATTGTGAACGCACGTTCTGTACTCATATTAATCCAAAGTTCCATGTACTTCTGGTAAATACACTTTTTTTAAAAAGGGATGTTAGGCTTGTTTGTTTCCCAGTAACGGACTGGCAACCAGTCCAGTTAGTTCCCCACATATCGCTCAGTGACAAATGGGATGCGCTCCAGCCACCCCATGACCCTAATAGGAATAAATTATCTGGATAATGGATGGATGTTGGGCTGACCATAAGAGGACTCTGAGAGACAGGCCAGAGCTCAATCTGCACCGCTCAGAAGAGGCTTCATTGACACAAAATGTCAGCGTCTGAGTGCTCGTGGCAGACTGGTAGGACTGCTTTTACCTGGGTTCAGTGGAGAGGATCTTGAAGGCGGGGCTGGTCTGAGACAGCTTCTCCCTTTTCACTGGGTTGCTTTTCTCCTGAAACATATCGTAAATAAAAAAAATACAGATCAGGCATCAAAATACATATATTTTTAAAAGGTTATTGCAGTTAAAAAGCTATTTTTTCTTTTTAAATCTCTCTTTTTTTTCAACAGTGGCAGGAAAAAAACAATGTCTTTTTACCCAGCATCGCATGATGTCCCAGATGACAGAGGGAGACGCGTCCGTCTTCACTGCATTTTTGCAGGCGTGAGAAAGAGAAACCCTGTGCCCAGCGTGAAGGAGAGCAGACCTGGAGGACAAAATCCATTCAGCTTGAGACTGATGGAAAACTGGAACTGCTTGCATCACTTTGACAAATGAAATGTGACTCGATGACTAAGAATTCGCAGGAGTAAAGTTTCGTTATTGAATTATCATTCTTTTTCCCTCAGTTTGTTTCAATAGAAGTCATTCTGTCCTAACATTTTTAAAACTTTCAGTATGAACTTCTGTACTTCTTTTTGTGTTCCTTAAAGTCAGCCCTGAGCAGTCATGGTTGGCTGCCTGGCTGCAGAATGTCAAATCATGCTGGGAAACGTCAGCACTGCTAGCAAGTCTTCCTGCTATGAGGCAGACTTGATTCATTTGTCCTAATTGATTCATCATCGAATCCATGTATTATTGCCCAGGCTTTGCATCAGAAGGCTACACTGAAGCAACATAGAACAGCTTTCACCATTTAACACCACTGGTTTTAATGGTGCAGAGGACCGGGGCCAAGTCACAGTGACGTCCTCTGAGTGCATGAATGTGTCCGTACCTAAACTGGAGTAAGGGGGGAGTATTGCAGTGTATTGTGCTGCTGAGGTTGTCCACAGCGTAGTAAAGTGGCACATCTTCCAATTCCTGAAAAAAAACAAAATCAGACTCAGGAGGACAGCTGCTAATCTGTACAGCTGGTGGAATTTAAAGCCACCAGAAAAAAGCAACCACAGGCCCCTAACAATACCAAGAGATATAATTTGCTACACTAAGACTATGACGAAGGAAAGCCAGTACCTCGGTCACCATGCTGAGCATGCCCTCGATACGCTTGGACGTCCCAAATCTGGAGGGGTTCCCCGACACGGCCGACAAAACCTGCTGGACAAACGCCACGTCGTGTATGGGCTCAGCCCAGATAGGGCCCCCCATCTACAAAAAAAAAGCAGACAGGTTTCAGCTGGTGGATCAAAGAATACATATTCACACAGAAATGACCACAAAGAAGCCTATAGGTCTTCATACAACATCAGGCAACAACAACAACCGGCTAAGTAGTCACTGGGCAAATGGCAGACTAAGAGTGGCTGAGCTGAGCTGGCCTACACATCTCTCAATGACTACAACACACAACGGTGCAACCTGCTGTGCGTTTGAGTGTATCAGTGTCTGTGTGTCACCTGATGTCTCTGCCCACACTGCTCACACTCCGGCCCGACTGGGGGTCCAGTGGCAGCAGAGTACTTCATACTGAAATCACAAAAAGTTCACACTTTGTTTGCGGACGTACGGTGAGTCTGCAGAACGCCAGCACGTTTGCCTTTGTTGGCTCTTCAGCATGCTAAGGTTTAAAATCCCAGCCGCACCACTCGCACTCACTGCTTTCCGTTGCTTGTTCTCCTGCCCATTCTCTGCAGATGGAAAGACCCGCAGCCCACGCAGTTGTAGACCAGAGCCTGTTTACTGCAGCGCAATGGGGGAAACAATGAGGAAAAATTCACTTCACATGTTGCTTCAATGTTTAGAGCCATTGTGTCACCTTTTCTCAATCTTTGTGCAAAACTGCACAGTTCATGTACATATTTGCATCAGACAATTCAGGTGACTGAAGCCTGTTTTAACACTTACATTAGAGTTTGGTCTGATTTTAAAAAAGAGTATATATACCCAATCGTAATATTTTTTCATCCTTCACATCAGACTAAGTGCGATGTTGATATTATTGCTGGATTTAGTCACAGCGCTAACTAAATTCAGACACCAGATTCAGGGTCATTCATATTTCATCACACAGTTCATCATCCTCAGGAGACAGTCTGCTGACGCGTGTGAGAGCACCTGGCTGAATTCTTGACTGTTGCCTGTCCTGTGAAGACGCGCACAAAGACCCGAATGTAGAAGTCTACACTGACGGACAGCAGGGGCTGGATGTATCGCTGGTAGACTCCTGCCCGCTGGTCCAGGCTGTGGAGGATGATACGAAGAGCCTGCGGATACGAACCAGTGGGATGTCATTCATCAGTGTTTGATTTCTTGCAGTATATAGTAGTAATATTATTTAATGTTATGTTATTAGCATTTTATTACTAATAGCAGCTGAAGAACCAAACAGCATTTGCTGTAAATTGTTATCATCAGGACTTCTAAATCAACAGGTTAATTTTATAAAGACTGAACAACAAATATTCCAAGTTTGAGCTGAAATCTGAACTCCACACGGAGTCTATGACAACCATACTGACTCATGTATCGCCTGAAGTCATGAACAAAGGATTAGGGCATTTTAAATGTGAGGATGCTGGCATGTCTGTGCATGTGCCGCTAAAGAATGAGTGCATTTCGTGTGTGTACTCTGCGCCCTCACCATCTCATGGCAGTATTTAGATTTGATGGAGACTGAACCATATTTGCTGTAGCAGGTTTCCCCGCTGTTTCCTGCCATCACAGCCATGTCTGTACATGTTAGGCACAACAGACCTGAGAGAGACAGAAACAACATGGAGACACCAACAGTCAGTGAAGGCAATGGGAGAGGCACAGGAAATGCATCAAAACGGTATAAAGCCAGGCATGAATTACTTTTAATCAGATATTGTTTGTGCAATAACAGGAAGTCAGGATGATGTAAGTGGGGTTTTTTTTCAAGATGTCTTTTCAGGTTGAAAAGAAAAACAACTGTGACCAAAATCATCTTTCAGGTTTGTACTGAAGCTTTAAGAAGCAACTTTTCCATCCACCATTTTAGAACTTGTTGGTGCTCAGGTGCCAAGACCGCGTCACCAAGTGAGTCTCAAAGCGCCAAACGACTATAAAAGTTACAGCTTTAATATTTTAACTGTTTTTTTTATTATTACTTTACCATTGTGTCTTATGTTGTGTACTACTCAGCTGTGGGTTTTTTAAAGTAATTTGTGGCAAAAAGAAAGAATATTTACCACAAAGGTCTGTGGTGTAAAAATGAACTGCAAATTAAGTGAATTTAAAATACCATGGGCAAAAGAATCGTTGTTTTTACTTTTTTTTTTACTAAACTTAAACATTTCAACTTGTTTCCTGGTAAACTACCCAGTATTTTGGTCATAAAGTAGTCATAAAGCAGTTTCAAAAAGGCATGTTTTTTATGCCTGAGAGAAGAACTGCTAAGTTTTACTTCAATCCTTTAAAAAAAAGTTAGTCATTTCATTGCATCATGTCCAACATCTTCACTTTGGTCTTGTTAGACCAAAGGACTTTTTTTTCCCCAGAATTATTTTAGTTACTTCAGATACGTCATTGCAAAATTAAATTGTGTCAGTTTCTCAGAGTCTTTCTTGATTAGATGTTAGGTTAATCTTCCTGTCCACTTCTGGGAAGACTGCCAACTGTCTTCAGGTTTTCCAATAATCTTCTTCACAGTAAAACGATAGAATCTGCATACTTGTCTTGCCCTATAACCATTCTTTCATCCAAGTTGATTCAGAATGTCTATGCTGCTGTAGATCAAGATTTGTATTTTTAGATATATAATTCCAGATGCAAAGAAGCAGTAGTAATTCTTTATACGGTACAAATTAAAAATGTGTACTTTCTTCTTCATGAATGGGAAAGTCCACAAGTGAATTTTACAAGCAACAGTCATCAACTGAGTAATAGACCTAACTTGGAATTTCCTCAGAAACAAAGTCACATTTTCACACATTTGCCTTTTTTTCTTTTCCTCGCTTAAAGCAAGCAGCTTGCTGTGGGCTGAGAACACACGTTTCCATGAACTAAGTGGAGGCCGATAGAAATAACCCACCTCCTTCACTCACAGCCTGCACGGCAGCATCCAGGAAAGAGGAAGGGCTGCCATAAGGATCCAGATCAATGACATCATAGCGCTCTTTCTTCCCTCGCATCTCGTACATTAGCATACTGGGCACCGAATGAAGAGAGGAAAAAACAGTCATACATATTTCCAATTAATGAAAAGAGTGAATTGAAACTACATCAACAGGAGATAAATTATGGGGGGGGGGGGGGGGGGCTGCCTAGACAAGCATTAAGAGTGACTGAGGAGGAGAAAATAAGGATGCAGGAAAAGGACTGAGACAAAGTATAAAAAGAGAGCAAATATAAAAAGAGCTGTAAAAGTGAACTAAACTAAATATTACAAAGGAATGGAGAAGACCACATAAGGTGAAGAAAGCGGAACACAACAGAATGAGTACTCTTACCTAGCGTCCCTGCAGCTGGCCCGGAGCAGGTGACTGACTTTATTGCACTGGGCATTCCTTTCAATCAGGGCTGCGGCTTTTGCTGAAAAGTCATTAGCTGTGATGCTCTGCAGGCCGGGGACCTCCAGAGCAAAACGCACTGAGCGCAAACCGGATGCTGCCAGGCCCTCCAGAACACGAAGACCAACCTTAAAAAAGAAAAATCAACTATATTAGGACAGATGAAGCGAGCTGTAAAGACTATGTCTGAGATTCCCGTGGCAAACGAAGTCAACTGTTATGTGTAAAGCTGTTCTTTGTTCAGCAGGTATCTGCTTATTCATGAACACAAAATAAACACAAAGAGAACAGCTATTTAGAACAGAACTAACTTCCAAGCTGCAAAGCATTTGGCAAGTGGAGCCACAGTGATAGAAGAGGCCTTCAGGGACTCCACAAGTTTGTCTTTCAATCAAGTTACATCTTGTGTTTTTAGCTAATATTAATGACTATAAATTACTTAAGAAGTGACTGTTTACCTCCATCTACTTACTTGGATCACCAAAATGAGAAATTACCTGGTAAAGGCTGAACTGAGTTTGTGTGGTGGAAGCTTTGACCCAGGATGCTTTGCCTGACATCTATTGTATGCGTTTAACTTACCTTGAGCTATTTTAAATATGTCTAGGTTCAGCAAAGTGCCTTAAAAGTTTTTTTTCCCAATCACTCACATACAAACACACACTTATAAATCATCTCCTATGTCATAGGAATATAAACAAAAAATAAATTCTAGTATCTGCCCAGCCACACATTTAGGCATCTTAGCTTTTACAGAACCAAATAAAACAGAAAACTCAATTGAAGCTGAATAAGATACAAACATATGCTTCATTTTTATTAATCAATTCCTTCAGTGAGATTTCTTCCCTAGTTGCAGCAGCGAAAACTGCTGCTTCACTATAAAATCTATTTTACATACTTCACACTTCTCCCCCACTGTTGCAGTCACTTTGGGCTCCTCTGCACCATTTCTCTCCTCATTCTGCGCGTCGGCCTCATTCGTCTCCTCTGACAGAGAGACAACCACCCTCTCCTTCTCTCCAGGCACCACCACCTTCACCCCACGCCGAGCCAGCATATCTCTTGCAAACTCTGTCACAACAGCACATCTGGAGAGAACGCATAAAAAGAATATTTTTGGACTTATATGGTGGATTAAGAATAAATAACAGGATAAAGGAAGCACCAAATAGCATAAATCCTGCAGCATTTACTATTTTCTGGACAAATCTGTACAAATAGTGTTGAAATTAAATGATCAGCAGTTAAAAAATAACCATTCTCATACCACTCTGCGAGAGGTCACATCCGCGAAGATGTTCAAAGCATGTCTGACAAACTTAAACCAAGAGATTGGCTGACAGCGTACGATATAGTTCTGATTATTTCAGTTCAACAACAAAGGGGAGGCACCGGCAGAAGAAATAAATGTTATACAAGTTCACTCACGTCAAATCTCTGTTAAACTCCTGGACCGGGTTGTAAAACACCTCGTTGGCACTGGGAAACAAAATGGCGGCCTTTCCCTCCCGGATAACCGTCTCTCCAGGCAACAGCTCCCCTGGTTGCGTTTTCTCCTGACTGCATGTCGTATCAGTACTCATCCCTGCTGCCGCAGATTCATCAGTTGTCAGAGGAGGGTTAATGGAGGGAACCACAGGATCCATAGATCTCTGTGTCCTGCGGGCAGTAGCACGACCGACACTCCACCAAAGACTCTGTCTGGCTGAAGAGTTGCAGGAAAAAGGCCGATGCCTGGAGACGATGAGGCTGAACAGCTGAGCAGTCCGCACTTGCATAAAGCTCCAGTCTGCAAAAGCAAGTATACACTGCGTTGCAAATGACTTTTGCATTTCTTAAAACAAGTTTAAAAAAAACAAGAAAGACCCAAAAGAAAAAATCTTTCTGCATTTTTTAGAATAAAATATAGATGAAATTCTCAAGACAAACAGCTGGGAAATTAGCCTGGTTGCTATTTGTGATAGAAAGCTCATTCATTTAGCCAGTTATCCAAAAATATGTTTGGTGTGGGTTGTCCATGATGCCCAGTTTTGACAGTACTTTGACTCCAGCATCCTCAAGATTATTTATAGGTAAATATATTCAATTAACAAAATTGAATTAAATCTCAAATAAGTAGCCTCCAAATCAAACAAATGTATTCAATGAAAGATTTGGCCCAGCCAAATAAAGTAATCTGAGCTTCTCTTATGCAGTCAGTGGAGTGTAACCAGAGTTGTTAGGATGGGGTTCTCCACTCTTTTAATGGAAGTATATTGCTACCTTTTTAAAAAAAATAAGGATATTCATGCTGCCAAATGTTGACTGACCGTTCATTCATTCATTATCTACTTTTCAGTCGACATGGATATACATTTCTTCGTGACCCTTAAAAAGGTCTACTCTACTTTAACAATCGGTGCTTCTAATTTGTTATATTTCAATACAACAGTTGTGACTTAACAACCAAGTTAACCACCTTATCGTAGCTCAGATAATAAGCATGACCTAATCTGCCTATATTAGCTACGTACACCTTCGAAACAAATTACTCAAATTTTTGCTAGCTACGTTAATCAAAAAGCAGATAATTATTTTTTTTTACCAGTGACACTATCCCAACGCAGACACAGCTGAGCAAGTATAAAAAAAAGTTTTTCTTGAAAACGATGAATATGGGCTTCAGCTGCTGTTTGTTTGCTTCTGTGTTCAATCGGCAGTTTGCTCACGTTCGTACATGGAAGCAGCCATGTTTGGAGCGACTCTACGGAAGCCGACTTGGTTCTGAAAAAGAGTTTACACCATGGTTTACACTGGCAACTCATTCAGCGCCACACGGAAAGGTTAAGGAGTCACGAAAAATAATTAATTTTACTGTGTTAAATGACTGAGCTAGACAACACATGTCCAACTTCGATATTAATGAAATATTAGTAAAAGAGAATAAACTTGTCTAAACTATAAATGAGAATAAAACTAGGCCTTCTTAATGTAGGGTAGAGCAATACTGAAAAAGCTTTAAAATGCTTTTAAATAGAACATTTCCGTGAATAAAGTAAATTGTCTGTGACTACTGTGATTTTTGCCCCAGTGCATATGTCATTTTGCATTTCATTTAGCTACCACCATAGTTTAATAGGAATTCATCTTCTCCTGTGCAAAACCTTCCTAAGACTTTTTAAAGTCTTAGGACTTTAAGATTTGCACAGATTTTGGAGAGTGCATTCATAAAACCGCTTTTCTGGTACAAAAATATTTTTTTATTTTGGCACAACCATGCTTAATGTAGTATTTTTGGACATGCACCTAAATCAGTGGCAACAAGTTCATTGCTTGTGAAACAGCCCATGAATTGTCCAGAGAACAAAGACACAATGGAAAAAAGACATTGTTTTTAGCAAAAATAAACTAAGAATAAAATGTTGCTGGTGATCCCTAAATCAATAAGGAAACAGAGGGCTGATTATGCCTTGCTGTGTCTGTGCCCCAAAGATGTGGGAAGAGCTTTCTTTGTAAGTCAAGTAAGCTCCTTAAGTTGATGTTTTGAAATCACTTTCGAAAAAACATTTTTATTCTTTGGCTTTTATCCCAATGTGAGACTGAGATTGATTGATTGATTTGACTGTTTATTCAGTTTTTAGTGTTTTACGGTCATTTTATGTGCAGTACTTGGGTCAATCATGTGTTGTTTTTAAAGTGCTATATAAATAAATATTGCACGGTATGAAATAACATTAAAAGCTTGAAAAGTGAGCCTGTTTCATTTGTCAAATAAATCATATTTATATGCAATGCTTTGAAAATGAATGTGCAGAAAATGAATGGCAGCATAAAGAAAACGGGGGTTACCCCACTCTAACTGATTTATCGCCCATCAGGTGGCTTCAGTCACTGGTTTCCAGCAGCTTGTGGAAACTGAATGACTGTGAGTGTAAAAAAAAAAAAAAAAAACGTCTGCCTCTACCAAACACAGGCTTCAACATCTGGATGGGGGCGCTGTGACAATGAATGCCCAGAGAGCGTGGCGCTATACATCTGACACAGGAGAATTATAGAGTTAATAGTATTTGGCATGACAGGGAGAGAGAGCGGGGAGCGCAGTGCTGTGTGCCTGAATGCGGTCTCATCCTGTTTAGTATTCACTGTGCGCAGCGCCTGGAGGCCCCGGAGGGCTCACCTGCCCGGAGTCTAGACGCGACCATCACGCAGCCCACGGAGTGATAAGCGGGATCGAACCCCCGGCTCACCACGGTACGGTGCGGCCGTTGGGCAGGACGTGAACGGATTCACCGCCGAAGACAGCCCGGTGAGTGAGCGGGTTCGGAGGGGGGGGACTGGACTGGTGGGTGGGGCTCAGACGGCCGGGTCGGCTGGGGACGCTGCCCGCCCGTCTCCACCTGCTTCCTGCGGTGCGTGGGGCTCCTGCGTGTTTTCTGTTATTCTTCCTGATGTAATGCCATTACTTTACTGTCATTAGTTTTTGGGGGGTTTTGGTTACATTACTGGTTA